ACCTGGGTTCACAAAGTTGCAGCTCAGCAAAGAACAGATTTATCACTAAAGCGGAATCCTCCCAAGCTCCAGGCACCTCCTGGCCTGGCAAAGTAGCAGTTTGTTCAGCACAAGGGAATCTCACACTGCCCAACAAAAACATTCTGTTCTAGCATTCTAACATACGATCATAGCATTTAGCTATACTCTAACACTCCCAGCTTTAAAAGTCTGCTGGCCTCTGGCGTCCCCCGGCCACATCGCTTCAGCCTCTGCCTCTGTCATCACTCCTTCTCCTTGTAAGGATTACATGTAGGCAATACTGGGGTAACCTCAATGTATTAGCTTCTTGTCTCTGAAACAATTATTTAAGGAGCAGCTTAGGAAGGAGGTCTCCTTGGGCTCCCGGCCTTGGAGTTTCAGTGGCAGGTCAGGTGGCCCCACAGGTTGAGGTGTGAGGCTGGAGGAAAGCTGAGGAGCCATCACAGGAAGTGGGGCGGGGGAACAGGAAGCAGAGATACACGGAATGCCTCTTTGTGTGTTCTCACCTTATAAACCCATTGTGATTCAATCATGTGGCTCCCCTAGCAACTTTTCAATCACATTCCTAGGCTCTCACTTTTAGATATGGGAAATGGGTCAGTTTGTGACTCTAGGGCTTAAATATTTTCATGAGTTGGGAAGCCAAGTCCTGTTGAAACTGTAGCACTCAAGTCCTTAATCTGGTCACATCTATAAAGCCATTTGGCTGCAATCAAGTCCCCTTGTTGGTGGTCCCCTATCCACCAACTCCGGGATTGGAATGTGGATCTCCTGTCTCCTGCAAATGGGTACCTCTCCCTATAGTGTGCTCCTTCTCACACAGATCTCGACCAGGGGGACTGCCGCGGGCAGCTCTGCCTTCAGTTAAAGCCACCAGTCACAGCAGGTGAATGGTGAGCTTCAGCCATGGCTGCCAAAGCTACAGCACAGAGCCAACCTGGAGCAAGTTCCTTGCAGAGTCCAGGCTGGACCTGCTCCTTCCTGAGAAGTCCCCAACTGTTGTGCGCTTTGGAGCAAGACATTCCAAAGTCAGATGCCTTTCTAGGTATTTCCTGACGGTTCACGACATTAGGACCTGTGCAGTGGAACAAGGCATAATGCCCTGCAGGAACTTGTTATCCAGGGGGTAACAGGGAGGAGAAATGAGCCTTGGAGGAGCTGTTAAAGCAGAGTGTGCTAGTGAGAATTTGAGAACACCGCTGTCTGCGTGGCACAGATGGAGGTGGTGGGGCGTGTGAATGAGGCATCCCAGGACTGAACCGCTAAGACCAAACCATTCGCTCATGAAAGAACAAAATCAGAGCAAGGCTTGCTGTTAATTTACGGTGTAGTTGGGAACTAAGGACATTAGGCAGAGGCAGGACAGACTCAGGCAGCCAGGGCTGTGAACATCTAATGGGAAAGCAAGGAACATTTACAATGTAGGAATTTGAAGGATCTACATTTTTAAAAAAAGATTTATTTATTTTTATTGCAAAGTCAGATATACAGAGAGGAGGAGAGAGAGAGGAAGATCTTCTGTCTGGTGATTCACTCCCCAAGTGACTGCAACAGCTGGAGCTGTGCCAATCCAAAGCCAGGAGCCACGAACTTCTTCCAGGTCCTCCCACACGGGTGCAGGGTCCCAAGGCCTTGCACTGGCCTTGACTACTTTCCCAGGCCACAAGCAGGGAGCTGGATGCAAAGTGGAGCTGCTGGGATTAGAACCTGTGCCCATATGGGATCCCGGCAGATTCAAGGCAAGGACCTTTAACCGCTAGGCCACAGCGCCAGGCCCTACATTTTTTCTAAAGAGGTAATAGTAGTCTATTGTTCCTGTATTTATTTATTTATTTAATTTCTACTAGACGTGGTTCTTGCCACTTTCTAAGAATCATTTCTATAGATGTTACTAAACAACATCAGACTGGGCCTGCTCTGTCCATTCCACAGATGAAGACTGGGGACTGGTGGGAGGAAGGGTTTGCTAACATCACAGGGGTCAGTCAGCAGGTGCAGCAGAGCCAGGACTCCAGCTCCATCCTGTGGCCTTGAACTTAAGTTTCTGCTGGTCTGTACTGGCTGGGAGGGCTAGATGGCAATGGGGTGGAGACTTACAGCCTCAGGGTGACAAGCTCAAGTTCAGCGGAGAGGTGGATGGGGTCAAAAGGAGGGTCAGGCAGGAGGGAAGGTAAGCAGGTATCACTCCCTCATTGCACCTGGCCTTTTCTGTCTCAGCATGTTAACTCTGGGGTGCTGGCATTTTGGGCAGAATCTCTGGTCCTGACATGGAAGTTGGGCAACACACATCAGAAGCTTCCCAAAGAGCACCTGACAATACCTCCCTGCCTGCCTTGCAGAGGGGGCGTATGTGTGTTCTTACACAGTTGGAAAAGTAAAGCATGCTCAGCAGTCATAATGGTCAGATGTCATTACCCTGATTATTTCTGAACTTCAGGGCACCATGTGCCTCTATGGATACCAGCGTGGCCTCCTTGGGACAGCTCTCCCGGTGGTCATCGGCCTCCCCCTCCCCCCGCTAGCCTGTGTCTTGTCCCGTTCTAGCCACTGCATGAATGCCCCTCCCTGCCCAGTGTGCGTGCATGTGTCTCCCTCACTCGGGGTAGATCTCATGTACCCCCTGCCTTGCTATCCTTCTGTATCTGCTGAGGGCTTCCCAACTGTCTCTGCATGAATCCCTCTACTAACAATCTGCTAATGAATCTTCCTAACTCCTGGGTCTTCTGAGATAAACTGAAATTTCCATGGGAACTTGTCTGGGTGTGAGGGCAGTAAGACATCCTCAGTTCAAGAATGAGTTTTTCTCTGCTTTCCAATTTAGTAAAAGCTGCCATTAGCTTTGCTCCATAGGTCGAGTGGTCTGGAGTCTCCAGAGGCCCAGCTTTACTGACCAAACCAACTCCTTCTCTTCCAACTTGTCATATCCTTCCACTCTGAACATTGCTTACTAGTTATGAGGAAAAGACCCAAAGTTCAGTGAACACCAGGAACAATGCAGATTTTTCTTAAAACCAGGTTTATCATGATGAATACTTTGAACGTTTTTATGTACGCTGGAAGAAGGCAGTAGACTTTCATTCATGTAAAAAAAAAAATTAATGTAAAGTTTTCATTATCTTTCTTAAAAAACCTTTTGTTTATTTGAAAGACAAAAAGAAAGATCTTACATCTCACCCGCAAGACCACAACAGGGTCAAACCAAAGCAGGAGCTCAAAGTTCCTTCCAGGTCTCCCATAAGGGGAGCTGGGCCTTCCTCAGGTCCATTAGCAGGACGCTGGAGCAGAAGTGGGTCATCTGGGACTTGAACTGGCACTCTGACACAGGCCACTGACAATGGCAGCCGCTGCATTAGCTTTTATTCCACTTCCCACAAACGTTTTGAAGTTCCCTAACACATGAAATGATGAAGTTTGATCCATCCTGACATTAAAAAAGGGGGTCTCCTGGGGCCAGTGTTGCTGCCCGGCAGGCTAACTGCCGCCTATGCCGCTTGCGTTCCATAAAGGCATGGGTTCAACAAATTATGCATGTATTTAAAAACTTTTCTACACTTTTTTTTTATTGGAAAGGCAAATATGCAGAGAAAGGAGAGAGAGGAAGATCTTCCATCTGTTGGTTGACTTCCCAAGCAAAGGCTACAGCTGAGCCAATCTGAAGCGTGGAGCCTGGAGCTTCCTCCAGGTCTCCAATGCGGGTTCTGGGTCCCAAGGTTTTGGACCATCCTCGACTGCTTTCCCAGGCCACAAAAAGGGAGCTAAATGGGAAGCAGGGCTGCTGGGATAGAACCGGCGCCCACATGGGATCCCCGGCGTGCAAGGTGAGGACATTAACCACTGCGCCACCGCGCCGGGCCCAAAAGATTAGCTTTTAATTCCGTTTTACATTAAGCTTTGGAATCCTAGAATATGCACAATAGGTAGTACTGCATTAAAGTTCGCCCTCAAAACCACATTTTTAACAATTGCCTCTTCAAGGCCTTGTCTGCAATGCAGTACCAGGAGTCCAGGATAGAAGCTTTATATTTAATAGGGGCGAAAGGCAGATCACACTTCTGGCAAAGGGGCAATTGAGAATATCCACAGTACTTGAGACCAGGGGATCCCAATGGAGTGGCGACAGCATGACAACAAAGTTTCCATAAGAGAAACCAGGGGGGACCCGGCGCGGTGGCGCAAGTGGTTAAGGTCCTCGCCTTGCATGCCCGGGATCCCATATGGGCGCCGGTTCTATCCCAGCAGCCCCGCTTCCCATCCAGCTCCCTGCCTGTGGCCTGGGAAAGCAGTTGAAGACGGCCCAAAGCTTTGGGACCCTGCACCCGCGTGGGAGACCCGGAAGAGGCTCCTGGCTTCGGATCGGCATAGTATCGGCCCGTTGCGCTCACTTGGGGAGTGAATCATCGGATGGAAGATCTTCCTCTCTGTCTCTCCTCTCTGTATATCCGCCTTTCCAGTAAAAAGTAAAAATAAGTCTTTAAAAAAAAAAAAGACACCAAGGGACAAGGCAGGGCAAAGGACACTTCTTTTGCGGAAAGCAGGACGCAGCTCTTACCACAGCTAAACCTGGGAAACAGGGTGGGAACACACTTTCCCGCAGGCGACAAAGGACGGACTGGACCAGGAACTTCAGACCGGATACGCGGGAAACGTGCCGTTGCTGAGGGAGGAGGGGCCGGCTCATCAATACCGCCTGGGAGGAGCGCCCAGCCGGAACCGTTGCAGCTCTAGCGCCGCCATCACAGCCGTTAGCACTCCAGCCGCAAGCAGAGCGGCCCAACTAGACCCACTTGGTTACAACACCGCCATTTTAGGAACTGAGACGCACAATAGAAACCACGTTTGCACAACCACGGCCACCTGGTCATTAGAAGCCCTACAGGAACTAAAAAACCCCGAGACCCTCCCACACCAACACGCGACGCCACCGCCGCCGAGCGGAACAGCTGCTTTTCAGGAACGATGTGGGTGGCTCTGAAAAGAGCCTTTTGTGCCTGATGACAAAGCCGGGAAGCTGACCAGGGCGCACGCCGCTCAGGCGCGCTCCCCGCGGATGCGGCGCGCCAGCTGGATGTCCTTGGGCATGATGGTGACGCGCTTGGCGTGGATGGCGCACAGGTTCGTGTCCTCGAACAGGCCCACCAGGTACGCCTCGCTCGCCTCCTGCAGCGCCATCACGGCCGAGCTCTGGAAGCGCAGGTCCGTCTTGAAGTCCTGCGCGATCTCGCGCACCAGCCGCTGGAACGGCAGCTTGCGGATCAGCAGCTCCGTCGACTTCTGGTAGCGCCGGATCTCGCGCAGCGCCACCGTGCCCGGCCGGTAGCGGTGCGGCTTCTTGACGCCGCCCGTGGCCGGCGCGCTCTTGCGGGCCGCCTTGGTGGCCAGCTGCTTGCGCGGGGCCTTGCCGCCCGTCGACTTGCGGGCCGTCTGCTTCGTGCGGGCCATGCTGCTACACACAAAACGCCAACACACAACGACACCGAGCGGGAAACACCACGCCGGCCCCAACCCCAACGCCGCCTTTATAGCCGCAGTCTCCCCGCGATTGGGCGGGCAGGGAACTTCAAAGTCCGCGCGCTCACCGCTCATTGGCCGTGACGTCGCCCGCCTCGGCCTCTCCCGTTGGACACAAGTTTTCCTCGTTTCCGGGGAAGAGGCGGCCCCGCCCCGGGAAGGGAGGTCCGTTGCCAGGCCCCCGCGCGACCCTCGTCACCCCGGCTCCTGCGCGGCCGCCCCCTCTGCCACGCGCCGGACCGGCACTCGCCCCGCCCCGCCATCCCGCCTCCCCGCATCCCCGCAACCCCCAGGCCCAGGACCAGGGAGCTGAGCCCGGCTTTCCGTCGGCCACTCCCCTCCGGAACCTCTCCCGGGGGAGCCCGCGCCCCAAGTGCCCTCGGCAGGCACCTAACGCCTGCTGGCACAGCCGAGGGCCCGTCCGGGGTCTCCGGCGGCCCGACCCACACCCACTCACGATCTTTCCATATGCTGGACACGCCCCCTCGAGTCCCACCCCCAGCGCAGAGCAGTCTACCGGATGGTGCTGGGGGTCGGTGCACGAGGCAGTCACGCACTGGGAAAACACACACTACACACTTCATGTCGGGTATCTACCTAGGCTGCATCACCTGGGTGCAACTGCGAGCTGACCTGAGGACAATCGGCCAAACTCCCCTCCTGCATCTGCGACGCAGAAAACGCGCCGAAACGGGAGCCCCACATGCCAAGATGTCAACAACCGCCCTTCTCTTCCCTTCCCACTCCCCGTCCCGGGCTGGGTCTGCCGGCTACCCGTAATGGTGGTGGGGGTGGTGCAACCGACACGCAAGAATGACTTTGCTGGCGACCACGTGCACAACTCTTTATACGACAGGGTGGGTGGCTCTGAAAAGAGCCTTTGGTTTTGCCGAGACCACAGCAGGCGGCGCCGGGCGGACTCACTTGCCCTTGGCCTTATGGTGGCTCTCCGTCTTCTTGGGCAGCAGCACGGCCTGGATGTTGGGCAGCACGCCGCCCTGCGCGATCGTCACCTTGCCCAGCAGCTTGTTGAGCTCCTCGTCGTTGCGGATGGCCAGCTGCAGGTGGCGCGGGATGATGCGCGTCTTCTTGTTGTCGCGCGCCGCGTTGCCCGCCAGCTCCAGGATCTCGGCCGTCAGGTACTCGAGCACCGCCGCCATGTACACCGGCGCGCCCGCGCCCACGCGCTCCGCGTAGTTGCCCTTGCGCAGCAGCCGGTGCACACGGCCCACCGGGAACTGCAGCCCGGCGCGCGACGACCGCGACTTGGCCTTGGCGCGGGCCTTGCCCCCCTGCTTGCCGCGACCCGACATCACAGCCACGAGTACAACGCGCACACACACACACAGCGAAACACACCCTCGCCCGCCGCCCGGCCGCTTCACCCTTTTATACCCACGGCGCCGATCGCCCACCGAGCGCCGCGATTGGCCGCCGCGCGGCCTCGCCCTCGTGGCCAATGGGACGGCTCGCCCAGCATCCGCTCATTTGCATCCTCGCGCTGGCTCGCCAGTCCCGCGCGGCCTGCTCCGAGCTCGGGCTGCGCTGCCCTTCCCCGCCGCCCTTCCCCGCTGCCCGCTGCCCGCCGCCCTTCCCCGCAGGACGCTGTGCTGCTGCTGCGCTCGCGCTGCTCACTTCGCCCGAGCCGACCAGGTTCGCTCCGGCGCCCAAAAAGACATCCCTCTAACAAAAGCCTCACTCGGTATTCCAGTTCCAAGTTTCCTTCTACAAATCAATCTTGGTTCAGAGCCACCCGCCTCCTGCGCATGAATATTTTTTCGTAAGGCTCTTTTAAGATTTATTTATTTTAAGTGGAAAGGCGGATATACAGGGAGGAGAGACAGGAAGGAAGATCTTCCGTCCAGTGGTTCACTCCCCAGGCTGGAGCTGAGCCAACCCAAAGCCAGAGTCCTCCTCCAGGTCTCTTAGGTAAGCCGGTTCAGGATCCCATAGTCTTCGACTTTCCTAGGCTACAGGCAGGGAGCTGGATGGGAAGCTGGTCCCCCGGGATTAGAACCGACGTCCATATGGGACCCTGGCGGGTCAAGGTAGGACCATAACCGTTATGCTATCGCACCTGGCCCCTCTCGGACCTATTTTGAAGCCTGTTGCTGCTTGGCTCAAAATAGAGATTGCATGAAGTTGATAGCTGTGTCTTGGTTGGTGGAAGCATCGTTGTATGATATGGTTTGCTTGAAAGGCTGTTGAAAACGTGTGTTGTCTTAGGCACAAGGTAGTGAAACGCTGATTTGTTCCAGCAACCCGAATAAAGCTAGGTAATAAAGAAAGTGGTCTAGGAAAAAGAGAATAAAAAAACTCAAGATTGTGATATTTTGTGTTAAGCCTTCTCATTTACATGGTGCTTCCTGAGAACTACTGGCTCAACTAGACCTTGTTGAATTTTAGAGAAGTGATGGAGACAGATGTGTGGATGGTTCTTTGCCAGTGGATCAACAGGCGTTGCTGAGGTTTTGAATGTTGACACGAGAAGCCGATTCTTGGTTTGTCCGTTAGGATGCAGCTCTGGGAGGCGGGCGGAGGTGTGGCGTTGAGTGTTGTGTCTAAGTCTCAGTGCAAGCAGCACCAGTCTGCCTTGAAGCACTAACTGAGCAGCAACACAACTGGGAAAGGGGTGTCACGTCACTTCCCCGCGTCCCTGTTATGAGTTGTGGCAGTGCATGATAATCCTGTCCTGCGTATTTTTGGCTATTTCAGGTAGCATTTGGTATAATTACTCTCTTCCTACGGTGGTGCTTCAACATGCATTGCTCAGAAAGCTGATTGATTTAAATGCCCTCTCAGCCTATCCACTGCTGTGACCAGTTTAGGAATCTAGATCAATCTAGTTCATAATTAATACTTCAGAAATTGGAGGAGTAAATGAATATGAGAGTAGAATGAAACTTTAGCAAAGAAGTTTGGTTTCAAGAGGTAGCAGCAAGATGGAATGATGTGGCTATGAAGGCAAGGATGATAATAGATCAAATAAAAAGGGCAAATTTGGGATAGGAATGGGGGAGATGAGAGGATGGAGCCAGTTCAACCCAATGTGGAGCCTGCTATGACTCTAAACTTCGGATAGCGTTCTTACTAACATGCACTTAGCAGTCCGAGTATTAGAATATTTCAGGAATAAAATTAGTTCTCTATATGGAAGGTGATCATGGAGCTTCTGCATTGAAAGATCTCAAAAAATTTAAAAAGCTTGGGCCTGGCGGCATGGCCTAGTGGCTAAAGTCCTCGCTTTGAACATGCCAGGATCCCATATGGGAGACTTGCCTTATGGAGCAATTGACTACTCAGTTGGCTCCTTTTAAGTGCCAGCATTCCATCTGAATGCACCTTTGTGTCCCAGCTCCTCCACTTCCCATCCAGCTCCCTGCTTGTGGCCTGGGAAAGCAGAGGAGGATGGCCCAAAGCCTTGGGACCCTGATCTCACATGGCAGACCCTGAAGGAACTCCTGGCTCTAGGCTTTAGACTGGCTCAGCTTCAGCTGGTGCAGCCATTTGGGGAGTTAGCCAGCACAAGGAATATTTTTTCCCTGCCCCTCTTTTTTGTAAATCTGCCTTTGCAATAAAAATAATTCTTTTAAAAAAAAAGGTAACCACTGTAACAGAGATTAGCCTACTGGAAATGAACTGCTGTGTGCAGTATACATCTATATTCCTGAGTAAGATTTCCATTTTTGTGTTGCTTTCCCTCTGCTTGCTATTTTATAATACTTTTCTATATTATAAAGTTAAATTTCCGGGCCCGGTGCGGTGGCGCAAGTGGTTAAGGTCCTCACCTTGCACGCCCGGGATCCCATATGGGCCCCGCTTCTAATCCCGGCAGCCCCGCTTCCCTTCCAGCTCCCTGCCTGTGGCCTGGGAAAGCAGCAGAGGACAGCCCAAGGCTTTGGGAACCTGCACCCGCGTGGGAGACCCGGAAGAGGCTCCTGGCTTCGGATCGGCATAGCATCGACCATTGCATGCACTTGGGGAGTGAATCATTGGACGGAAGATCTTCTTCTCTGTCTCTCCTCTCTGTATATCTGCCTTTCCAATGAGAAAAATAATAAAAAATAAATCTTTAAAAAAAAAGTTAAATTTCCTACTGTGAGGTGAATGAATATGATATTGTAATAATTTGGGAAAAAATAAGGAGGTTTAGAGGAAGGGATGGGAGGAACCCTGTGTTTCTGAATCTGTATCGTGACAAATGTAAAATATACTCATTTATATCAATCTTAACATTTAAAAGAGATGGAACGTTGTTTAAAAATTTAAAACTGTAATTCTATCACAAACTTTAGTTCTTGTATTTTCCAGGTTTAATGAAACAAAATGGCACAAAGATCGGTTGGCTTAAAACGATAGAAAGTTATTCTCTCCTTTGTTCTGGAGGCCAGAGTTGTGCAGCCAAGGTGCTGACAAGGCCCTGCTCCCTCCAGAGCCTCAAGAAACTTGCTCCTCAGGGGCCTGGCACTGTAGCCTAATGCTTAAGGACTTGTCTTGCACCCACTGGGATCCCATAGGGGTGCTGGGTTTAATCCTGATGGACCTGCTTTCCATCCAGCTCCCTGCTTGTGTCCTGGGAAAGCAGTAGAGTACGGTACCAAAGCCTTGGGATCTTATATCCACATGGGAGACCCAGAAGAGGCTGGAGGCTCCTGGCTTTGGCTTGGCTCAGCTCTGGTCGTTGTGGCTGCTTGGGGAGTGAACCAGCGGATGGAAGTTCTTCTTCTCTGCCTCTCCTCCTGTCTGTATATTTTACTTTCCAATAAACATAAATGAAAGAAAGAAAGAAAGAAAGGAAAGAAAAAAGAAAGTTGCTTGTCCTTTCAGTGTCAGAGGCTTCAGGGGCTCCTTGTTCCTTGCTTTGTAGTGCCCCAACCCCCATCGCGCATGGCTGTCTGCCTGGAAAGCTATCTGTTCTACTTTAGCTAGACTGCCAGGACTTGTTCTAAGGGTACAAGGCAACAGTCTGACACACTGGAGGTTAGATTTCAACCATTTTTTGATGGGATTCATTTCAGCTCCCAACAGTTATCACCAGGTTATGCAGAACTGCGAAATTTTTATTATGGCAGCAGAGCGGTGACATCAAGCCGGAGTTGAAGATGGCTCAGGATGGCTTCGAGGCAGATCATAAACTACAAACTTCTTTCTCCCTCAACTAGTAAATAGATTCTCCCAGAGCTCCTGGAGAGAGCGCAACCTTGATTTCCACTTAGTGAGACCAGCCTTGTGCGTTCACCTTCCAGAACTATAAGGCAATGCAGATTGTTTTAAACTACAATAATTTATTATAACAGCCACAATGTAATGTAATTACATTGTAATTACCATAGTAATGCCACAATGGTATAGGAACTTTTGGGGGGGGAATAATTGGAGAAATATGGATTATGTATCAGTTAATATATTGAATCCATATTAAATGTTAGGTACAGGTAGGATATTATAGTTAGTGGAAGAGTATCTTTATTTTTATATCTTTATTTTTAACAGCTACATGCTATGTTATTTAGTATTTTTCTGGAGGTTTGCAAGTTTCAAAATAAAAACTGGAAAAACTTGGTAAGATTGTAATCAGACATTTTTGTCACATTGGCAATAAGTAATACAGGAATCGCCTGACAGAATTTCAACATACAAAGCATATGAGGATGCTTCCATTCCATTCCCAAGTACACTGAAAAGTTGCAGAGTGTGAAAGATCACACTGGACCTGCATGTACGATTTTAGGAGGAATTTTTATTGCCCAAGCTTGCTGACAGCAGTGTCAGGAGCCACTGCACTGAGCAGGGAAAGTCAGGGGTTTTTCCCGAGCCATTTTCCTCACTGTCAGCTTGAATGGCGTGGGAGGCAAAAGGGGAGAGATGCATACGAGGAGCCTATGGTCAGCCGATTTCCACATCCAATTAATTGGAATGGCAGGAGAGGAGGTCAAAAGAGTGGGACCAGCAAACTCCGTTTCCAGGATGTTCATTGTCAGTCAACTTGTAGGTGGGTGCACTCCATCAAAGAAAGGTTGAAAAATTCACAAAGACCAATTAGGCTGACATCAGATGTCAAAAGTCCCAGTTCCAGATTTTCATATATCCAACTTTGCCTCGTAATGGGTACCAGAAGTCTGTGTTACTGGTCTCCAAACCACCTCTGATTCAGTGAATTGCAGCCCCTTCCAAGTCTCAGTCCTTCATTTCTCTTTGTGTCCTATGCAAAATTCAATTTGTCAACTTCATTTAAAACACTCAAAACTCAACTTCTCCCCATCTCTGCTGCTACCACCGGGCTCGCTCCTGAATTCTGTTCCTGTGGCCTCCTTCCTATTCTTTATGTTTCTACACTTGCTTTTCTGCTAGCTTTCAACACAGTCCCACAGAAATTTTATTATGATACAATTCCATAGGCTCTGGAATTTCCTTTGCCCCCTCTGCAAATTCCACTGATTTCCCCTATTTTATTACAATGATATAGTCCTTCATAAGCAGTCAAAAGTCTGTCATTCTGCTACTTAAGTGTATTCTGACATTGTGGGTATGGACAATGGCAGGCAGTCCAGCGCTCTGTTGTCATGATGTAGTTAACAGTTTCATTGGGAATTCATCTTTGATTTGCATTGCATCTTCACATCTGGATATGATTGCCTCTAGTACACAGTTACAATACATTCCCTTAAATGAAAAGCCATAAAGCAAAATCAACAACAGGAAGAAAGTTAATTTTACAGTGTCATGAAGTTAAATAACATACTACTGAATGACCAATGTGTTGCTGAAGAAATGAAAAAGAAAATTAAAACATATTCCTGGAGAAAATGATGCTACTGTATAATATATGAGTCAGTGAAGAATTTAATAAGAGAAAAAAAAACCACTTGGAAGAAATTAAAACCAAAAAATCAAAATCCATGAAATGCGACAAAACAGTATTGAAAGGGGTATTGTTCTTATATTTTGCATGAAGGTTGCCTTATATCAGAGAAAATATATTTATTCTTTTGGGATTGACTTATTTCACTGAGTACAATGGTCTCTAGTTGGAACCATTGGTTGCAAATGGCAGGGTTTCATTTATTTATTTTTTAAAGATTTATTTATTTATTGGAAAGTCAGATATACAGAGAGGAGGAGAGACAGAAAGGAAGATATTCTGTCCGATGATTCACTCCCCAAGTGAGCGCAACGGCCAATGCTATGCCGATCTGAAGCCAGGAGCCAGGAACTTCTTCTGGGTCTCCCACATGGATGCAGGGTCCCAAAGCATTGGGCCGACCTTGACTGCTTTCCCAGGCCACAAGCAGGGAGCTGGATGGGAAGTGGAGCTGCCGGGATTAGAACTGGCGCTCATGTGGGATCCCGGCGCATTCAAGGCGAGGACTTTAGCCACTAGGCCACGCTGCTGGGCCCTCATTTATTTTTAATGGCTGAGTATTCCATTGAGTAGCTGTACCATGGTTTCTTTATCCACTCCTATTTTGATGGGCATCTGGTTGTTTCCATGACTTTGCTATTGTACGTTGTGCTACTGTAAATACAGGAATACAGATGCCTTTCTCATGCAGATCTCATTTTCTTAGGATATATTTCTAGCAATGGGATAGCTGGGTAACATGGCAGATGTATTTTCAAGTCTCTTAGCACTCTGCATAGTGGTTCATTCTCCAAACTGACTTCCATAGTGGCTGTACTAGTCTACACTTCCACCAACAGTGAAGGAAGGCACCCCCTTCCCACATCCAAACCAGTTGTTAGTAGAATCCCAGAGAAATTGTTAAGAACACCCAGATGAAATCAGAGCATTGCAGTAGCCTACGAAGCTCAATTATATCTGCAAATTGTTCTTTTGCTCACTGAGCATCTTGCTTACTGCTCAGACTCACCCAATCTGCATCTCCCTCAGGTCTTTGGGGTATTTTCTGTTCCCAGAATATCATTTCTCTCATTAACTTATCCTGAAGTCTCAGATCAAATGCTAACTGGTGAGGCCTCCCATTGCCTTCTGATTCATATTATGCTTTGTTTCATAGAACATATCACCCCCTGATTGTGACACATTTCTTTGCTTCATCTCCTTTCTTACACCACCCTTCCACTTCCCCAGTCCTCTACCACGAAGGACACAAGGGCCGAAGTTTGCATCTTATGCCCTTGGATAGTGAATAGAGTCTCCCACCAGATGTTCTGAATATTACATTTCAAAAGGCCGATTTAATCTGCTCCCACTCCAGTCTCCCGCATTTCCTTGCCCCGGGGAGCAATATTTGTCAAGGTTGAAATCCCCTGGAAAACAAGTCCAATCCTCCCCACAAACTCAACCATTTGTTTGGAATTCTCCCACCCCTAAAAACCCCCAGGATGCCAGCCACAGAAAGGGGTGGGCCCTTTACCAAAAGGTTACACCATCACCGCCTGGGCAGATGGACACCTGCTTGATTTATCTGTAACAAATTCACTATGGCTAAGTTCACTCCGTTTTGTTTCTGCTGCACTTCCCCAACACTTGGTTCCCCATTTTCTGCATCACTTTTCTAACACACTAGGATGCAGATGTGTGCAAGGGGAATTCTCCAGGTCTGCTTACTTCTAGTCGCCAGGCATATTGTGTGTCAGGTGTCATCTTGTTGTGGGAAGCAATACAAACAACTACTGAGAACCAGAACAATGGATCAGTTTGCTTCTCACAGTGGTAGGAACATTGGTGAGAGGGCCCAGCGCGGTGGTCTAGTGGCTAATGTCCTCACCTTGACCGCGCTCAGATCCCATATGGGACCGGTTCTAATCCCAGCAGCTACACTCTCCATCCAGCTCCCTGCTTGTGGCCTGGGAAAGCAGTGAAGGACGGCCAAAAGCCTTGGGATCCTGCACCCCCGTGGGAAACCTGAAGGAAGTTCCTGGTTCCTAGCATCCGATGGGCGCAGCACCAGCCGTTGCAGTCACTTGGGTGAATCAACGGATGGAATATCTTCCTTTCTGTCTCTCCTTTTTGTATATCTGACTTTGCAATAAAAATGAATAAATCTTTTAAAAATATATTGGTAAGGAAAAAAAGCCTGATGTTTATAGGGAAATACAGGTACACTGGCTCTCTTCCTCTAATTTGACCCATTAATATATTGGTTCCCAGACGGCTATATTGACATGTCATTTATTCATTAAACATCCTGTGGCTGTCTCTGAATGTTAGATGATACATATTTTGGCTTATTTTCATTGGAAAGACAGATTTTACTGAGAAAAAGATCTTCTATCCGTTGAAACAAGGAGCCAGGAGCTTCCTTGATGAGCACAGGGTCCCAAGGCTTTGGGCCTTTCACCACTGCTTTCCTAACCAATAAGCAGAGAGCTGATAGAAAGTGGAGAAACCTGTGCAAATATAGCATGGCAGCCGCTTGCAGCGGGAGTACAGGCCAGCTGAGTCATTGCTCTAAACACTATTGCTAACTTCTAAACATAATCATAACCTTCTCCAGTGGACAAAATGCAGGTGTGCCATGCACCTGCTTGTGTAATTTGTACACATACATGGATTAGCTCTCTTTGCGGCTGCACTAGTGCTTCTTGATGTCCAATTTATGCCGTTATGAGGGTTTTCTCAGAAGGATGTCTTTTTGGGCGCCGGAGCGAACCTGGTCGGCTCGGGCGAAGTGAGCAGCGCGAGCGCAGCAGCAGCACAGCGTCCTGCGGGGAAGGGCGGCGGGCAGCGGGCAGCGGGGAAGGGCGGCGGGGAAGGGCAGCGCAGCCCGAGCTCGGAGCAGGCCGCGCGGGACTGGCGAGCCAGCGCGAGGATGCAAATGAGCGGATGCTGGGCGAGCCGTCCCATTGGCCACGAGGGCGAGGCCGCGCGGCGGCCAATCGCGGCGCTCGGTGGGCGATCGGCGCCGTGGGTATAAAAGGGTGAAGCGGCCGGGCGGCGGGCGAGGGTGTGTTTCGCTGTGTGTGTGTGTGTGCGTTGTAATCGTGGCTGTGATGTCGGGTCGCGGCAAGCAGGGGGGCAAGGCCCGCGCCAAGGCCAAGTCGCGGTCGTCGCGCGCCGGGCTGCAGTTCCCGGTGGGCCGTGTGCACCGGCTGCTGCGCAAGGGCAACTACGCGGAGCGCGTGGGCGCGGGCGCGCCGGTGTACATGGCGGCGGTGCTCGAGTACCTGACGGCCGAGATCCTGGAGCTGGCGGGCAACGCGGCGCGCGACAACAAGAAGACGCGCATCATCCCGCGCCACCTGCAGCTGGCCATCCGCAACGACGAGGAGCTCAACAAGCTGCTGGGCAAGGTGACGATCGCGCAGGGCGGCGTGCTGCCCAACATCCAGGCCGTGCTGCTGCCCAAGAAGACGGAGAGCCACCATAAGGCCAAGGGCAAGTGAGTCCGCCCGGCGCCGCCTGCTGTGGTCTCGGCAAAACCAAAGGCTCTTTTCAGAGCCACCCACCCTGTCGTATAAAGAGTTGTGCACGTGGTCGCCAGCAAAGTCATTCTTGCGTGTCGGTTGCACCACCCCCACCACCATTACGGGTAGCCGGCAGACCCAGCCCGGGACGGGGAGTGGGAAGGGAAGAGAAGGGCGGTTGTTGACATCTTGGCATGTGGGGCTCCCGTTTCGGCGCGTTTTCTGCGTCGCAGATGCAGGAGGGGAGTTTGGCCGATTGTCCTCAGGTCAGCTCGCAGTTGCACCCAGGTGATGCAGCCTAGGTAGATACCCGACATGAAGTGTGTAGTGTGTGTTTTCCCAGTGCGTGACTGCCTCGTGCACCGACCCCCAGCACCATCCGGTAGACTGCTCTGCGCTGGGGGTGGGACTCGAGGGGGCGTGTCCAGCATATGGAAAGATCGTGAGTGGGTGTGGGTCGGGCCGCCGGAGACCCCGGACGGGCCCTCGGCTGTGCCAGCAGGCGTTAGGTGCCTGCCGAGGGCACTTGGGGCGCGGGCTCCCCCGGGAGAGGTTCCGGAGGGGAGTGGCCGACGGAAAGCCGGGCTCAGCTCCCTGGTCCTGGGCCTGGGGGTTGCGGGGATGCGGGGAGGCGGGATGGCGGGGCGGGGCGAGTGCCGGTCCGGCGCGTGGCAGAGGGGGCGGCCGCGCAGGAGCCGGGGTGACGAGGGTCGCGCGGGGGCCTTGCAACGGACCTCCCTTCCCGGGGCGGGGCCGCCTCTTCCCCGGAAACGAGGAAAACTTGTGTCCAACGGGAGAGGCCGAGGCGGGCGACGTCACGGCCAATGAGCGGTGAGCGCGCGGACTTTGAAGTTCCCTGCCCGCCCAATCGCGGGGAGACTGCGGCTATAAAGGCGGCGTTGGGGTTGGGGCCGGCGTGGTGTTTCCCGCTCGGTGTCGTTTTGTGTTGGCGTTTTGTGTGTAGCAGCATGGCCCGCACGAAGCAGACGGCCCGCAAGTCGACGGGCGGCAAGGCCCCGCGCAAGCAGCTGGCCACCAAGGCGGCCCGCAAGAGCGCGCCGGCCACGGGCGGCGTCAAGAAGCCGCACCGCTACCGGCCGGGCACGGTGGCGCTGCGCGAGATCCGGCGCTACCAGAAGTCGACGGAGCTGCTGATCCGCAAGCTGCCGTTCCAGCGGCTGGTGCGCGAGATCGCGCAGGACTTCAAGACGGACCTGCGCTTCCAGAGCTCGGCCGTGATGGCGCTGCAGGAGGCGAGCGAGGCGTACCTGGTGGGCCTGTTCGAGGACACGAACCTGTGCGCCATCCACGCCAAGCGCGTCACCATCATGCCCAAGGACATCCAGCTGGCGCGCCGCATCCGCGGGGAGCGCGCCTGAGCGGCGTGCGCCCTGGTCAGCTTCCCGGCTTTGTCATCAGGCACAAAAGGCTCTTTTCAGAGCCACCCACATCGTTCCTGAAAAGCAGCTGTTCCGCTCGGCGGCGGTGGCGTCGCGTGTTGGTGTGGGAGGGTCTCGGGGTTTTTTAGTTCCTGTAGGGCTTCTAATGACCAGGTGGTCCCTGTTATGCAAACTTGCATTCTATTGTGCTCAGTTGTTCTAGGGCAGTTTTTGTTTTCAGCTGTGTCCCTAAAATGGCGGTTTTGATCTCGGTCTCCCAGTCCGTTTCTCTTCCTGCTTCTGGTGGGTGGAGCGTTAAGTAACGGCTGACGTTCAAACGTTCCCGCGTGGCGCGCATCCTGGGTTGCGGGTGTTCGCGCTGGCCCGACCTCCGTTGGTTCACCCCCTCGTAAGTTCCTTCCCTTTCCGTCCTGGCGCCTGCGGAAAGTTTGCCTGTTTTTAACTTGGCTTGTGTCTCAGAGCCCGTTTTCACAGTTCTGGAGGGACCACTCAGCATTACGCACACTGTCCCTCTGCTTTTTTTTTTAACTACCCGTTTTTTGAAACGTGCTATTTTTTATTTGTGTAGAATTAACGCAGTAGGGTATGATAGTTGGTCATTCCACGTTGGAGATCTTTGGGTTTTCTGGCTCTGTCGCGGGCATTTCCACAAGGTTTTTTTGTTATGTTTTGTTTTGTTTTTTAGCGAAATAACCGTCTCTGTTTCGCCCGGTTCTGGCCGGTCAATCAGACCACCGGATTTTAGGGTGGGGTCGCTCAGCCCGGTGTGCTGTTGGGAGCAAAGTTCCATTCTCCCAGACCCCTAGGCTCAGGGCTGTGCTCAGTTTGGGCTGCTTTCTGGACCAGCTCTTAATTGAAAGATTTTTGGCATGGTCGTGTCGCGGCCACGTAGTGTCCACTGAAGAAACTCCAGTTAGCGATATCGTTTGCACAGACTCGGTAGTTGCTTTATTTGTTTTTGTTTCATATGTAGAAATTTGAGGGATTCCCAGAGTAAGGACAGGCGTGAAGCCCAAAATCTGTTCTTGGAGAGGGAGTAGATCAAACAGTTCCATCTGGAGCCCCTGTCAGGTTTTCTGCTTTAGGACCTACCGAGAAGGCCTAAGGAATCTTAACAATTTGAAGGTGAGAAATTCAGGCTCTTGGTTGGGCTAGAGCAAACTCGGGACAAGCAGCGGTATGGGTGTTAGATAACCCCGTCCAACCTTCTCTGTCACTTAGTTGCCGGAGAGGATGACAGCGCTTTTTTAAAAATGATTTGTTTCATTTTTATTTGAAAGATTTACAGAGAAGAAAGAACTGTATCTACGGGTTACTCTCCAAATGGCGCAACAGAGCTGAGCCAATCCAAAGCCAGAAATTTCTTCGGGGTCTCCGTGGGTGGGGGGAGTGCAGAGGCCCAGGCACTTGTTCCACCCTCCACCTGTATTGTCCAGGCTATTAGCAGGGAGAGGGAGTGGGATTTGAACCTGTACCCATATAGGATGCTGATGCCGTAGGTGGCGGCTTACCCTATGCTGCCATGGGCAGTGCCAGCTCTTACTTTTTTTCTCCGGTACAATTAACAGCTGAAATGCATTTGTTACAGAGATAAGTGAAAATTAGCTGGGATGACGATGCAGAGTTAACTTCATTTGTCTTGCTGCTGTTTGGTATCTGCTGAGGAGTGTCAGAAGAGCCAAAAGCAGGTGGGTGTGGGGAGTCTCTGGCTGCTGTTATCTATGGGTGGCCATGTGTTCCTGCTCGAAGGTCATAGCATTTCTCAAGCCTGCCTTTTGGTTTTTGTGCGCAGGCCTTTCCTTGTTTTCTGGTGATGGGGGTCTGCTTTCTTGAGGCCAAAAGGGTGGGGGGACTTTCCTGTTCTGCAGTAAAGGCTGGTTGTGTAGACCCTGGCACTCGTGCTTATCATTGCCGTTACTGCCCTTACTGCCCTCAGACACCACTAGCCTTACCAGGCTGGGTACCTCTGAGCCCTGAGGAGTCTGTCTTGAGTCACAGGAAAGTGTGGCGGTATAGTTGATACTATCTTAGCCGTCCATCCTCAGAGGGACCTTTCAAAGCTTCTTCATGGTTTGGAAGACCAGCACAGACTGGCTTCATCAACCCAAGATGATTTAAAATGTAAATTAACAATTTTTTTTGTCTTAAGACATTCTGCATTCTCAGCTGAATGTTAAAGGATAACAGGATAACATACACCAATGTGTTGCCCCTGATAATTAGCTTCCATGTTGCTAGCCTGGCAGAAGGAAAAGTACCTAGAATCTAGGGTTTTAAAGAAATAAAGTTTGGGACCAGTGCTGTGGTATAGCACAATAAGTGTGTCTGTGGTGTCAGTATCCTGTATAGACAGGGGTCGAGTACTGGCAGCTCCACTTCCCATTTAGCTCTCTGCTTGTTTCCTGGGAAAGCAGTGAGCATGGCCCAAGTAGTTGAGACCCTCCACCCATGTGGGAGACCCAGAAGAAGCTCTTGACTTTATGGTTTTGGCCACTTAAGGAGCAAACCAGCAAATGAAAAATATCTGTCTCTTCCTTTCTGTCTGTAACTCTGATTTGCTAATAAAAATCTTAAACTATATATAAAACAACAAAAAAATTGAAGTCTTATATGTTTAGACTGTTTTATGGTGGAAGGGGACAGGCGCAGGTATGGAGGGAAGCCACATGGGTGAACGTGGCCCCATGGACAAGACCTCTGCTCCATCAGAAGAGGACTGTCCTTGGAGCAACTCTCTCCTGGCCATCCTTCTGCCCCGTCCCGGGCTTCTCATGTCCTCTTTGTCATCAGTATTTCTGCTTTTCCCTGTGCTACTCTCGACTGCAACTCAAGGGAGCTCATGATCTCTGCTTTCTAGCCTCGTATTTCTGCCTGTCTGCTAAGTGTTCCCTGAGTTAGTACCATGAGCCCCTGTTCTGAACACTGCACCAGTGATTCTCACTGCTCAGTGGACAGGTACTTCTGGCTAGGTAACAGGCCCTCTAGACTGAGCTGGCTTCTTAAGCTAGATCTGCACCATTTTCCCAAATCTGTTCCCTCTATCTCTACCATCTTAGTTTGAGTTTCCCTTCCATCCAGAGGTGCCTTCCTCACAATCCTCTTACCAAATCTCCAGAGTCTTCAGATGCTCTTGGGTGGGCTTTCTGATTTGCCAGTAACCCTTTTGTCTCAACTCCTCTCCACACTGTCCCCTCAGCTATGGACTTATAACGTTCTCCAGGTAAGGATTTGTCTTTGGTATTAGCATCCTGGCTAACAGGCCCTGGCGCACCACAGGGGTGAGGAAATGCTTGTTGAGGGACTTGCCGCTTCTGACCTACTTTGCTATATATGAGCGAATTGGGCCCCTAGTTTGGGAGTAGGGAGGTCCTTATAGTTACAAAGTAAGGACTGGACCTCTTCAGAGGACTTCCAAGGTCCAGGGGCAGGTGTCAGGGTTCCAGATGAAGGAAGCAGGGACGTAGAAGTCCAGCTGCCTCTTACCCACCAATGCCTGGCATTCTAGCCTTTGCCTGCTCCTGGGGACAGTAACTATGAACAAGTTGACCAGCTCTGCCCCCCACTAGCTGTTCCTACACTCCCCAGTCTGTTCCAGAAGGCAGATGGCCTCGGGAGGAGTGTCTGTCTTTATATCCCCACAGACATCAGATTTGTCTTCTTGATATGATTTGTTTGGGAGATGGTAGGAGAATGGGGTGTGATCAAGAGCAGTGAGTGAAGTATATCTAAAGGAAGGGGGTAGGATAACGAATGGCCAAGGGGACAGTCCACAGATGGTGTCCAGAGACATGAGACCCCTTGAACCATAGACCAGAGCTGCTAACCCTTAACCAGAAAAAAAGCAAAGACAAGGCAATCAAAAGCCAGGAGCCAGGACCCTCTTAAGGGTCTCTCATGTGGGTGCAGGGTCCTTAAACTTTGGGCCATCCTCGACTGCTTTCCCAGGCCACAAGCAAGGAGCAGGATGGAAAATTGAACAATGGGAATATGAACTAGTGACCATGTGGGATGCCAGTGCTTGTAAGGTGAGGATCAGCTAGTTGAGACATTGTTCCTGCCCAATTCTTTATTTTATTTTATTTTATTAAAATTTTATGAAGATCTTCAGTCCAATGGTTTGCTCCCAAAGTGGCTGCAATGGCTGTAGCTGAACCAGGTGCTTCTTCCAGTTCTCCCACACAGGTGCAGGGTCCCAAGGCTTTGTGCCATCCTTGCCACACAGGTGCAGGGTCCTAAAGCTTTGGGTCATCCTTGACTGTTTTCCCAGGCCACAAGTAGGGAGCTGGATGGGAAGTGGGGCCGCCGGGATTAGAACGGGAGCCCATATGGGATCCTGGCGCGTTCAGGGCAAGGACATTAGCCATGAGGCTATTGCGTTTTTGTTTAAAAACAAACAAAAAAATCAGATGATAGGTGTCAGGTCCTGTCTTGCTGTCCATTCTTCGTGTCTCTTGTCCCCCAATCTCTCCTAGGTGGTTGCGACCCCCATAGACTGTCCTGCTAGTCGGGACAGATAGGGCCTGGCGTGGTCTACCTATCCCAAAAAATATGTTGGATTATTATAAACACATGACTGGTCAGCTTATAGACTGTCTGGGTCAGGCGTAAGAACGCTGGGTTTCCAGAAGCCTCATCTTGCAGGCACCTTCTCTCAGTAGCCCTGTGAAGAAGGAAGTGCTGTCTCCACCCCAGCTCTGGAATAGGTGACTAGGAAGAGCCCCTCACTGGGAATGTGGGTCACACAGAAGGTGGTGGAGGGGAGATTTGAGTCTGGGTTTTGTGTTTTGCTTTCCTCTTTCATTATTTCAGAAGGAAATGTTACAATCCATACTTACACAGAGAGATACGGCATCTGTGAATGTGTATCAGTTCTGATTTCTGCAGACTACAAAATGGATGCATTTAATCTCAAGGAGGCACCTCTGAATGCAGCTGAAACTAAGTACACAAGGACACTGTTTTCACTGGGGATGTACT